TGGTCCGGTGCTAAATTTATTCCTCAAGTTATTCAGTTTTTCAAGGACTATATTTGGCGTAATATTTAGGCGGGTTTCTGCGTAATATTTTTATTACGCAGATATGAGTTTTACATTTATATGTTCATAATGAAAGTCCCCTTAAGAACGTATATAACATCCAAATTATAACGACATAGGTAAACAATAAGTGAGAATATTTAGGATATTGTAGAGAAGCTCAAACAATGTGTTGAATCCAGTATTCAGATTATTTAATTTAGTTGCTATGTAGGTTCAATTGGATTCAACTCTCCATTTTGGAACGTTTGAACAAAACTACTAGATTAAAGGATAGGGGCCCTAGAGGCATCTGGTGTGGTTTTGCATAATGTTAGCAACACTGCACGCAGTGTCTACCAAAAACGCGCAGGCCAGATAGGTGAGCTGCCCTGAAAATTTCTTAATTCAATAGAAATAAATGTATTAATTTCTAATTCAAATTTAACACTGTAAATTATGTTTGAGGCATGAATTCTGTTTATGAATTGAAGAAGGGATTTTTGTTTGAAATAAGGGACCACTGTGGATCAACTGCCCCAGGCCCCAGGGTGTCACGCGAGCATTGTGTCGATATGTTTCATCTAACGCTGATAGCGTCAATGCTCGCACAAACTAGTCACTTAACGTGCATTGTAGATTAGGACTATCTTGCATGAAATGGTACACAAACGCCCTTTGCAACATGCGTTGTGTCCACAGCTCAAGCTACAATGGACTTAAAGATAACGTGCATTTTCAAGCACCATGCCTACTAGGTCACGTGCGTAGGCAACAACACAATGTCAAAAGCATTTGTATGTGGTGTCACATAAGATAGAGTTAATCTGCGATATGTGTAAAGTGACTTGTGCGCAGGCATCTATACCGCTGACGTCACATTACTTATCTCCATTTGGTAACACGAGTCAATGTAACATAACACGCCTTAAACAAAATATTGAAACTCAAGGGAATCAAATTTTCATATAGACATTAAAGGAGTGGCTATATAAATGAGAATATCAATGCTATCTTTTCCACCAGGCATGACTATGCCCGAACTATCTTTGTTCGAAGTAACAAGTAATTTACTTCAGCTTCCTTCTCAATCAGGTTCTGTAGTTTTTCTGATCCATTGAGCAAATACTGAAATTGCCCCTTGTTTTGCTTCGGGACATAAATGTAGCTTTGTTACAAGTACATTTTGTTCAGCTCACCAATTGCTAATAGTGTTAGGAGTAGAGAGAAGGGGGGGGGGGCATGATATTGTTAGAAATAAAAATAAAATTAAAAAGGTTCCTAACCACTTTTTTTGAAGCTTTAACTCATTGTTCAAATATATGTAGTTAAAAATGATGTGAGGAAATCTCTAGCTCAAGAAAATGTGAGCAGATGGCACTTCTTCCACATATCACACACCACTTTTACTGTAGTTACTGACTAAATCAAATTAAATAAATCCAAAGTAGTATTGATAGAGAATTCCTGCAAGCAGTCCAAGAGTAGGGAGTGACAACTTGAAAATATTCAGTTTTTGGTAGCTCATAAATTGAATTTCAGTTATTAGTTTCTCTCACATACATTTTTCCCTTCAGTCTCCTGAAAAACGTATAAATGAAGTTTTACTGTATTTTCCAGGAAATAATATGAATAAAAAAAGTCAAATGGTTGAAAAAAGATTTTCAATTTGTTTAAAAGGAAGAATTTATTTACCCCTTCATCAGCAATGCCTTCTTCATCTTCTTCAGAATCAACCATTTCATCTTCCTGGTCTCGTTGGGATGATGTTGGTACCTGATATTCAACTTCAAGCACTGAATCAGAAGATGCTGGAAACATGTCCTGCTGTCCAGCTAATCGAGATCTTTTACCCTATAAAATATAAACACAGTTAACCCTCATTAGAGGAACAAAACTTAGGTAAAAAAAAACAAAAAACACACACACACACCACACACACACAATTATCCATTTGGAATTACCCAAAATTAGCCATTTGGAATATTCAAGTAGTTGATTAGACAAAATACATTTACAATTGTCTTAAGAGCTTCTTTTGGACGTTTCAACCTTGCCTCTCCAGACAGTTTGTCTGTGTGTCTCTGTGTGTGTCCCCGCCTCCCTCCCACCCTCTCTCTCCCCGCCTCCCTCCAAAAAATAAGAGAGAGATATTTTAACTAATTGATATTCATATGAATTAAGGTTGTTACAAGCATATTCCTAAACCATATACACGCAAAGGAGGTTTATAAAACATGGAATAAACTGAAATGCAACGGAATATTTATAAATGGAAGTTTAAAAAGAAACAAATCCAAAAAATATCTATTACACTATCTCGTAAGGCGGAATAAAAATATCTATGGCAGACATAATTACGGCCTATGTAAAATATATATTCTCCTAAGCCTTAAAATATTTTTTCGACCAAAATGTTTGGCGTAGTGCCTGCTTCTTTCAAAATTTTATCTACGGGTGATACTGCTAAATACATTTGACAGGATAACCTTTCATAAAAATCCAATTGTCAAACTCATAAAATACCCTTATAAGTTTTACACTTAATATTTAGTCATATACTCCACTTATATGTGAGTAAAAAGGTTTTTCTTTGCTATGAGTAAGGTGTTTTGAAAAACGAGAACGCTTTAAGGGAGCGAGTATTCAAATTTGTAATGAATGTAGTACACAACAGACGAGCTGCATTAAAACTTTAAACGAGCTGCGATATCGCTATTTTTTGTAAGTAATAATTATTATACAATTTTAGTAGGAGAAGTTAATTTATTTGCGAAAGCAACGGGTGTTAACGTGACGTTCTTATCGGATATTGATATAAAGCCGAGCGGTCTTGGTGGTTCTGTATTCCGCGTCCACGGCTACACTTTCACAGCGGAAGCTTTTCTGGCTGCGTATGTATTGGCTTTTGCTTTGTGATGACGCCCAAACAACTCTTTCGCTGCTCAATAGAAATCAAAATTTGCTATTTCTGTGCACGTAAGGATTGCACCTTATTACATTGAACCCATATTCTATGTATATCAGAAGAACATATCGTCTTTAAATAAATGCCAGTCTGTTTATTATCAAAGAACAACAATAAATAAGAGTTTATAAAACTCCACCCTCGCAACGTAATAAGAAAGTATAATCACAATTCATTCCTCTCATTACCAGAAAGAAGCTTCCTTCTAACAAATTATGGATAAAGAGAACGGCTTTGTGATCACATTAAACATGTTAATAATTAGTCTTAAAGAGTTTTTAACAATAGTTCTCCAACTTATCATTATTCTAACATTCATAGTCTAAGAAAAGGAAGTAATGGTTGAAAAGTTTTAAGCTTCTTGCAAACAAGCAGACGCCCCATATACATCAACCTCGGACGAAAGGCCCACTCCGACCGACCTAAAATTCTGGCGTTCCACTCGACATCGTCAGCCCCGACAGCGCCTTACTTACTGGGGCCTATAGCACTATCTATCTCTCATCGGGTGGCGGAATTCCCTGAAAACGCACAAGCCAAATATCCCACAAATACGTTCACCTGCAGCACGTTCTCGTCGTATCAAACGCCACATATTCTACTTAGCTAACAGGTTTCTGCCTTGAACGCTTTAGCATCAGTGTAGTATACTCGTAATATCGCTAAAAAGCGCGATCGGCTTCGGGTATTAAATTCCACTTGACGTTTACTACTTCCATTTACCCTCCAAAAGTACAAGATCTCTTAGGTACGACGGACACAGCATTAAAATTTCTTACAACTCAGGATAAATGACGTATTTGGTGATCGTTTCAAAAAGGGCTTTTGAAATTATATACTTTAATAGCAGTGTCAACAGTCTGTGGTTGCACAACTTGTTAAGCTAGACTTATATTTGATAATGTTGTTGTTGTCAAAACCCTCACAACTTGCATCTAGATCAAACTATGTAGCCGGGTACGAGAATTGAACCTGATAAGATTGTCGATTTTTATTTCAGTACGGAAAACTATCACGGGTTGTTTCTTCTGGTCAAGTTCCTTTAATATGATGTAATCAGTAAAAGAAAGATATAGTGTAAATATACAACTTTACAACGGAAAAAACTTCATATTCTATTGTTTCATATAAGTATCTGAATTACCTTACATTTTAAGCGATAAAAGAGCACATGTTCGGATGTATCATATTTTAGTTCCTTCTACCTTATGTCGAAATGAAAGGAGACAGAAAGAGTATATATGGAACTGTAATAATAAAACATTTAAGCTTCAATCAGTCGATAAATATTGAATATTTACTAAACCACACTTATCACGGAAGTTGTTTCAGCCGACGGACTTGAAGTCATTATTTATTTTTATCTCATGCATATTTACGTGCTATAAAAATAAAGATTGTCTAGTCTCATATTGTAAAAAGTAAGCATTACGAAAGGCATTAATATGACACTTACTCTTGTATATCATTATGTATAAGCAGGGATGCGACTCGAAGTCATAAATAAGGCAAATAATTATAATGAAGGACAGGGATGAATAACAGGATATTAGCTCGTATTAAAATGTTGATTTATGGTTAGTTAATTAAAGCAAGACACATGCACATAGAATTAGAAAACCTCTCCTTTTTTGTTATCATGTATTTGAATCACTAAAACAATCCACACTAGTAAAACAAACCCCAAAACAACAAACAACAATCATTACTTTATTTATAGAGGAATTATTTATTCAGTTTCATCTTCGATTAGAACCATTATCTTCGTCAGTGATTATCATTGAAAAATATGTAGACACAGTTTATGAACAAATTACACAAATTCTTGTTCGTATTAATTATTACCATGAATATACGGCAATCATAATCTTATTCTTGTAACAAATTTGGTAACAAGTTTTAACTGATACAAGTTCAACATTTGTAGCCTGTAAACAGTGGCTCTAACATTAGAAGAAGAAATTATGCACAATTATGCTAGTTTGACAGTCTTGATCCTGAATTAATGTAATTTTCGCAGAATTCTGTTACAAGATAATTAGAGTGCTATACCATTGATTTCTTCGACCAAGAAGGTTCGTTGATCATAGGATATTATAATAATAGAAGAAAGTAAGGGGAAGAGACACTAAGTTAAACAAATTTAGTTGAGCAAACAGGTTCTTACTAAACTATTGTTGTAGTCAAAAATTAAAAAAGCTTATTAATATATCACGAAGAAGACAAAATAAATCTTTAAAGAAACCCTATAAGGTATTATTTTAGTATTATTATAACTAAAGTTCCTAAAAACTTAAATATAACTATTGTCTAATATATAAAAAGATATCTGATATCTAAAAAAATTAATTGAGCGTTTGTGAAATTGGAGTCAAATTACTATTTACAAGATTAAAAGCCTTGATTTTAGTCATAACTCATATCATTAGTTACAATAAGGAATTAGGAACAAAAGGGTTATAGCATAGATAATTTTGGTGGATGTTTTATAAAATGATGATTAATAACATCTACAGGATATTATTTAAATTAAATATTTTAATATTTATTTAAAAACTCAATGTGACGAAAAGATAGTGATCGATTGTTTAAGGTTAAAGTTCGTATGTACTATAGCGGGCTTATTAATTATTGTGTTCAGAAGGGGCTATATTTTTGTATTAAATAATAAATAATTAAACACACACACATAAGCCAAAATCATAAAATGAAATTTTTAATCATTATGATTAATGGGATTTATAGGGAGTTGATATTATGATACTGGGCAAACTTAGTGACATGTATTCTTAATCTTATCATTTAAAGTATTTGAGTGCAGCTAAGACTAGTTTTATTTTAAATATATACTGGGATGTATATTTGTATCCCCAAGAAAAATGTTAACCTTGTAAAATAAACCAAATTATATTCTGAAATTGAGTTCAGAGCTGATACTTGGCATCATTTGGGACAAATTTTGGTACATTCAGATGCAAAATAAAATAGATTAATATGTCGCCCATCAAGATTTTAGTTTCTAAAACAAATTGGTGTTATTTTTTGAAATATTCTGCTCTGTGGTTGGGCTGGGCTCATCCCCAATGATAGGATTAAATATCTGGGAAAGGAATTGTGACGACATTAAAGAATGTAGGTTTTATGAATATGTTGCAAGTGTCGAAAACACATCTGTCTACAAAAATTTTGTAATATTTTTTGATGTAGTAGTTAACATAAAGAACAAATAAAACAATTACAACATAAAGGAACGTATTATACATCTGCGAGTGCAATAGTGTCAATATTAAAACGCATTCAATTTTATATTTGACAAAATTTTATGCAAGGGCAGGGGGGTAGTGCAAGGCCATGGAGTGTTGGAGCAGAGAATTTTCAGAAAACAAATTCTCACGTGTGAAACGGATGATCTTAGTTCAAATAATGTAATATAGAATTAACATCTTTAAGGGGTGTTTCCAGCACAGGTGTCAAGAAATAATATAGTTCTTGGAATAATCTTGTGGAACCTTATTTTCTTTTTTGGTTTTCAGCAAGTGAATGTTGCTAGTTGTCTCCATCAGTATAAATTGTATTACGAAACTGTTATGCTTTTGAGAACGGATAAATTCTACTTCCATTCAAATTATTCAGATATTTTTATTATTATCCAAAGGCATATAGCCTAAATATTTCATATATGCATGTTTTACCACTCTTGAAGATTACAATATCGTTGTCATAAAATAAGTTGTCATTGTTCATATTAATAGTGAAATCTAATATGAGTTGTTTGAATATTTAGCTATGATTTTTGATCAAATCAATTTCATTCAATAGATTGGGATTTGGCTAAACTGGTATAGCAGAATTATAGAAATAGTGTCCTATCCTCAATTTCCTATAA